CATTCTTCGTTTCCATGAACATTTCAGATTTGTGGATGTATGATTGTATGAATTAGGGTATAGAGATTAGAATTCGGGTTTTTTACCTTTTTCTTCTTTCTTTTGTATTCGCGGATTATTAGATGATGAAGATGAGGAGATATAGCAGGTACTTAAGACCAGACTGTTTTATCCTTGGATTGGTTTTTGGTGCAGCTATAAATTTTGCTATGCCGAATCTTTCGGATAACTCAGTCTGAATGACTTTGCAAATAAGTTTTTTTCTGATTCAATCATCTTTTAACTTTCCCTWTTTTCTGTTTCTTGGATTCTCATGATTTTCACTCCAAAAAGATTTCTGATTTATCAACACTGAGATAGAACCTTGGAAAAAGAAACTTGAAGTGCTCTGTTTCTTAGTTATTACTGCAGCTTTGTTGAGCTGCCCGTCTATGTTTGCTGGTTGTGTGATAGATTTTTCGATGATTTGAGTTCTATAAAGATGATCAGTAGCAACGAAAGATTATGTTTTCAGCTATATAAGTTGTTCTTTGGATATAGGAAAAAAACAGAAGTTGTATCCTCATGTTAAATGCCTAGGTTTTGGTATACTTAGCAAGTTTGGTTATGCTGTAACTTCTTGTTTTAGTTTAGTTTTGGGTATTTGTTCTTACTGCAACTTTGTTGAGCAGRTAATGTTTGTTGGTTGTGTGATAGATTAGATAGTTTGAGCTCTACATGGATAATAAAACATTGGAATTTTCAGCTATAGAGGTTGTTCTTTAGGGTTATCAACTACTTTGCATAGCGGAAAAAAACGGAAACTGCAACCTCATGTTTATGGCCAGGTCATGGTGAATTGTTGCAGATGGATGGATACGTTGATATACCTGCAAACTAGTGTCACGAAATGAAAAACAGGCATGGATAGAGGAAAAACATGGAATTTGCATCCTCAGGTTAATAGCCAGGTCCGGATGATTTGTTGCGGATGGATATGTTTGTTATACATGTTGTTCTTTTTCCTGCAATCTTGTATCACTGAAGGTACTGAAAGGGGCAGTTCAGTGCACTAATTGTAATGTGTGAGCATTTTGGTTCATGGAATCAATCATTCAGGAGATTAGAGAAGAGTGCTTTTCATTCATGGAATTCATCATTGTTCCCGTTCATGCTTGAACACCTGAATACAAATCATATCTGTCTTTTTCACTTTTTTTTTTGTATAAATGTTACTGAAACATAGATTATAGTTCAGTTTCTGGTTCAGTTTTGATTAGACTTCTCAGTTTCTATGGGGGTCGGATTTCTCCGTTTTATCATTGTATTGTTTTTCTCTTCTTCCTCAAAAGTGATCACCTATTGAAGTCATAGAGAAGATGTGAATCATTTTCGTTTTGTATTTCATTAGATGATTTACAAACAATGGATCTCATTTCCTTGTTCATTCCGTGTGGACGGTYGAGATTAATTACAGCGAGTTTATATGTGAAAGATAAARTTAAGAGTTAAGACTTTTTTGAATCTCAAAAAATATCTTAGAGCAGACGAAAAGGACAATCAGAGCATTTTAGAACATATAAATAATTCAAATGGTGAARTKTTGTTACATTTTGTGAAAGAGTGTTMAAAAGCTTTTTTTAAAGCCCAGTTTGAGAAAATTGAATCRGGTTTAAGACCCGGTTAACGATCCCTTGTCTTTTGACTCCTTCRCGGTCTCTCCTCGAGCAAGTCTCCTCCTTCTCTTCATCTCTCGATCGACGATAAATCCACCGTTAGCTATCGGTGAACGCGGRGGAGGACGTTGATAAATTTTCAGCTCTCTGCGTTACGACAGATTGGACGAATTTTAGGTTAAATCGGATCTCAATCATGGACGAGGAGGCAGCAAAACCCACCGCAAATCAGCAGSGTCAATACTATTACGGAACTTTTCAAGGCGTTGCGAATTATCATCCTCCGGCTCRGCCACCGCAATTGCAACCGGTGTTGCAGCAACCGCAGTATCCGATTGCGACGAATCCCTTGTTAGGACATGGCTATCAGAATGTCCAAGGTTTTTGTAATCTCTCTCTCTCTAATTTTGGATGGTTACTATATGATTTTTTGTGTGGGTCTGTTGTTGTTTTGTGATTGTTTTTCGTGTTCGAAATTGTTAGMTCATGGTGGTGGTTTTGTGAATTATGCTCAAGCATTCCCAGTTCGTCCTGGTAGTTTGTTTATCTTATCCTCAATTTGTTCKTTTAGAGAAATCTTCACTTTTTTAAATCCAATATAAGTGAATTTGTATGGAATATTATAGATTGCTTGCTTTGTATGATTGATTGCATTATGATCATATATTGAAGATTGTTGTTGTTTCTTTGGGTTGTGATATTGGTTAATGTTACAATATTGAAATTCCAATGTTTTATTCTCCGGTAGAGTTCAAACTATCTAATCTATCACATAACCAACAAACATTAGCTGCTCAACAAAGTTGCAGTAAGAACAAATACTCAAAACTAAACTAAATCAAGAAGTTACAGCATAACCAAGCCTACTAAGTATACGAAGACCTGGGCATTTAACATGAGGATACAACTTCTGTTTTTTTCCTATATCCAAAGAACAACTTATATAGCTGAAAACATAATCTTTCGTTGCTACTAATCATCTTTATAGAACTCAAAACATCAAAAAATCTATCACACAACCAACAAACATAGACAGGCTGCTCAACAAAGCTGCAGTAATAACTAAGAAACAGAGCACTTCAAGTTTCCTTTTCCAAGGTTCTGTCTCAGTGTTGATAAATCAGAAATTTTTTTGGAGTGAAAATCATGAGAATCCAAGAAACAGAAAAAAGGGAAAGTTAAAAGATGATTAAATCAGAAAAAAGTTTATTTGCAAAGTCATTCAGACTGAGTTATCCGGAAGATTCGGCATAGCAAAATTTATAGCTGCACCAAAAACCAATCCAAGGATAAAACAGAGTCTGGTCTTAAGTACCTGCTATATCTCCTCATCTTCATCATCTAATAATCCGCGAATACAAAAGAAAGAAGAAAAAGGTAAAAAACCCGAATTCTAATCTCTATACCCTAATTCATACAATCATACATCCACAAATCTGAAATGTTCATGGAAACGAAGAATGAACAATAACAACAGAAATGACGCATACGAATTTCACGATCTAAGCAAAATACCAAATTAGAGCATTGAATTAAAGGAATCAGAGACGACGGTGATTTCACAACTTAAAAAGACCCTTTGATACGCAACGACACCGTTTTAAAAATAGGAGGACAAAAATTCATTAGCCCTACTATTCTACCAAATGAAACCGGAATATTTGTGATCTCCGGTTAGCTGATTTAGTAAGGCGATCATGGACAATGAATTTTTGTCCCCCAAGTCG